GGAGAGTCATCTGAAACCTGATATGAAATTGCCCGTTCCTCTTGTCGTTTTGGCGCTTCCGGTCAAACTTTCGTGCAGATGCACCGAATCGGTCTCAAGCGCACCGGGCGACGGAGTGCGACCCGGTCGAAAGGCCGTACAGGGGTAGCGGCGGAACGCGTCCGGCAAATATGCACGGCCCCAAACTACGTACCCTCACACAATCCTTGCGCCAACGCGGCGGTGGCATCTCACATCGAGGAACAAGCGCCAGGACTATTGACACCTTCCTGGGGTGACGGTGATCACGCATCTCTCTGAGGGCAGTTGTGGTAGTTTCGCACCCATTGGACTTGGTGCCCCAATAGTGAAACGGACCCCCCGCGTTAATCAACAAGGAAACATACACCAGGAATCACATCGTGCTGACGGTTGTGGGGTCGTCAAGACTCTTGGAAACACAAACAGTTGGCCGAGGCCGGAGGCGAAACCCACCCATGTTGCAACACCACAGCTGGAGATGCACGAGGAAAGCGGGGGAAAGACGCATGCACGACAGCACACAGAGAATGCAACCAAGCACGCACGCAACCCAACCCGTGCACACGTACTACTGCACACACCAGACAGTTGGCGTATTGTCGAGTCCCGGTCGGCCAGCAAGACGGAGTGCTCGGCCTCCATACTTTTCTTCGCCCGCTTAACCTCCCTCCCCAGGACAGTGGTATCATCGTCGCGCTGAGGTGGGCATCGTCGGTGGCAGTAGGGGAGTGGGACAGCAGGTGTAGAACAATGGGGTGCGTCTTATTCTTCCGAGAAAAGGGTGAAAATTGTCGTGGGGGGACGTGATGTGTGCATCTACCATCTGCTTCCTCCCCAGCGTGTCGTTGCGAGTTGGACTCTGGCGTTGGTTGGGGTCATTTCGTCTCCTGGCGGTCTCCTCCTCGCTATCCCGACCCTCCCAAAGACAACTCGTACACACGTCCAACGTGCGACGCGAGAGAGCAGCAGTAGTACAATAGTAGTGGTGGACGGCCGCCAACGATCCAAGAAACAGCTGTGTCATGCGCAAAGTAACGCGTACCGAGCTAACCTGGTAGTGGATTTGACGACCCTCCCCCGCTTCTGTTGGCTCGGTGCTCTCCACAGCCATCGTCTCTAGCCCAGCTCTGTAGCCTCTTCTTTCATCGCCGCCTCCGTCGCCGCCACCGCCGCCGCCACGAGCTGAAGAAGAAGGTGAGAATAAAGAAGATGAGGGGAGTTGACTTTCCCGCCGGCGCTTGTGTTTGCCGTCGTTGCCGGCGACCGTTCCAGCTGTGGACGCCGCTACCGCATCAGCTTCTGACGGCAAGGAGTTGCTCCGGGACTTGCCCGGCCCTATGGAAGAGGGTGCGGAATTAGCACTAGTCACCGCAGCGGTCTGGGCAGAGTCCAGGGCCTTGAATTCGTTCTCCCTGGACGAGTTGTAGTCTGGGTGCTGCTGCCGTTGGTGGTGTTTTTCCCACCGCGGCCTCTCGCGAAGAGGATTCTTCGTCACCGGTGGTGCACCAGCGCCGGCGGCGGCAGTAGAACCATCATCCTCGTCAGCAGCAGCCACAGCATCGGATCGGAGGGAAGAACACTGCCTCCTGGGCCGCACGGCCGGGAAGAATGCTGTCACGACAGGGGGCGCGGTGATACTCCGCGGCGAGACCGCGCCCCCCTTCTTCTCGTCACTACTGGGGGACGCCGGGAAAGCTCCGTCGTCCGATGTCTCGGCCCGTCCCTCTTGCTCCCCGCCGCCACGAGGGAACGTCCGGCCAGCAGAAGTCCTCTCCGTGCGCACGGTGGCCGTGGCCCCCAGACCCATGGCCTCGTCAGGCGGCATCTTCGGTGTCGACTCCGGTGCCGATGCCATCGCCGCAACCGCCTCCCGCTCGGGGTGGCGACGGTCGTCTCCTTCGGGGGAGGGGGCGTCCAGGGACGGGAGGGCGGCGGCAGCGGCGGTAGCATCGTCGTCGACATGCATCGTGGCCTTGACCCGGCTGACCTCTGACTTAGCGGCCTCTAGTTTCTTCTCCAGGCTGTGAATGATCTGCCTGAATGTTTGAGGGGAAGGGGGGCACGACGAAGGTATGGGTTTGTTTGGAACAATGAGGGGGGGGGGAGAGAAGTGGCAGGTTTGGTCTTTGGAGGTCTGGAGTGCGCCTTTGGTACGACGGGGACAACTTGCGACAGTTCGACTCTTTTCACCCACAGCGATAACCGGTTTCATCTGTCGTTTCAACTGTAGCTGCATCATCACCAGTGGCAAATCACCTGCTGCCGTGGGCCTCGTACCAGGCTTGGATGTGCGCGTTGCGGAGAGCGTTCAGCGCACGGCCCAGCTGCTCCTGAGGGTTGGCGTTGTCAGTGAACCAACGTCAGTGAAGTGGATTGTTGAGGGGTGCGTGGGCGGAAAACGATGCAGCGTGGACCATTCCAGCGGCCCAGCCAGCGAACACAACCAACCACGGTGCGCGTTGTGTAACACAGAAGTCCCAGGCCGCCCAAGAGGGTCGCTATCGTGCGCAACTCGTGTGTCTGGTACAGCTCATGAGGTGACTCTGAGAGCTGTTTCGCTGCCGCTGGCAACGTGCCTTTCTACGGTAGGAGAGAAGGTAATTCGTCATATTCACCTCTTCCGGAACCCCCCCCCCCCCC